TGCATTAACATCTCCTTGCTTTTTAAAAAAAAAACAACCCTGCTCTTCACAATACTTTTAAAACCCACTTCTTTCTTCTGACGCTGTGCAAAAAGGAAAGGAAAAATCACAACCAAGAACTGAGAGGGAGATAAATTCAGGGAAATAAATGAGTAAAGGAGGGAAGGGAGAAGGGGAGAAGGCTTATATTGCTCTGTTGATATATCACTTTTATAATTTTTCTTTAAAGGAAAAGGGGAGGCCTGATTGCCCCAAGAAACAGAACAGAACATGAGTTCATACAAAATTAAAGAGCAGTGTAGCCTGCTATAACAGTTCAGTGTGTGTGTGTGTGTGTGTGTGTGTGTCTGTGTGTCTGTGTGTCTGTGTGTGTGTGTGTGTAGTGCAGTACAAGCCTATGCCTAGTTGCTCAGTGGGTTCACTGAGAGTTATTTCTCATTACGATCAGCACTGTGACCTTCAGACTTTGCTTTCCTTTAGTGTCTAAGAGAGTGTTATGGAACTTCTAAGGGTTTGGATGGGGAGGCCATTGATATCATTAGCCTGAAGTCTTAGGGGGTCTTCTCTCAAAAGTTACTGTCATTGTTAACTATTACCTCAGAATTGTTTGGATGACAGTTTTCGAAATGCTTTTACATTTCCAGTTTTAAAGCAAGGAACGGTGACATGTACCACACCCACCCACCCCCTTGAGCCCAAATGTCACCTCTAGCTCTCTCTGAGTCTCCAGCATCCCCACCCTCCAATTTCAAAAAGTGATGGGAGGGGAATAAAGGACATTTTTAGTCCCCTTTTTTTTCTCAGTGTGGAGGCAATTTGCAGTGTTTTGGGGTCCTAGCATCATAGGAGGCCTGAGACTCCTGACTTTTCAAAAAACGTTTGTTTTTAATTGGGCCATTTGAGAAGACAGGAGACTTTTAAATTTAGCCCTACATCTAATATTTTTATGAGGAAAAACATGGGGTTGTAGGTTGTAGGAAGTAGGCAGAGCCATTTAAGATCCAGAAATGAGCATGGGTGGTCCTGATCCTCTAGAGTTGGCTACCCCACTTTTAACTATTTTATGGCTTCCAAGATTGTTCTGGTATGATGTGACGAAGCAGCTTTCAAAGAATAGGATGCTAGCGTTCAGAGTTTGCTGACAGACAGGTTTGTGAGCAAGGTCCAAGGTGCAGTTAACAGGACTTGCTTTTGAAGGTGCGTGCACACCTTGGTTATGAAGAACTGGCCTTCCGTCAAGTTCAGAACAAGAACAGACTCCATGTATTTTCTAATAGACAGAAGGCAGGAAAGATCTTCCCTCCTCTTGTGAGTCTAAAATAATTATTTTTAAAAGAATTTCTAGTGGGGAAAAGTCTGCTGGTGGTTTCTGTTTTGCCCTCAGCTTTGCAGAGCCATCGTAGCTAAACAAACAAGTTCCTAGTCAAACCACAAAACCCAAATTTGGTGGAAAGTACAGTGAATTTCAACATGCGGCAAGAATTTTGAAGAATGCACGGTAGGCATGACGCCAGTGTCACAACTACAAAGGCAGCTTTGTAAGCCTTGGATAACGAGGCGTAGCGGGCCAAAAGAATCCAGCCTTCTGACGCTGCCGTTTTCAGAGGTGTAAGAAGGACGGAGCCAAATAAATCCCGAACAAATGCTGCGAAGAATAGCATGACAGATGTGTCGGGAGTCACGGGAGAGGAAAATGGCCATTAAACTTTGGGACAGAGAAAGACGAAAATGGGAATCCTGATTTACCTGTCCGTGCCTGCACATCCTCCAGCCAATTCCCTGTGCCATGTTTTCAGCAGAAGGAAAGAGGAAATAGTGTAAGTGCTAGATTATCTTGGGGCTGGTACTCAGCGCTGAAGACTAGATGCCAAGAGAGCAGGAAGAAGAAGAAGAGCGAGAAACTGCAGTCCTGCTCATGGTTCTTCAACCCAATCAGTGCAACCCTGTATCTCGTGTATTCCATCACAGCGATCAGAGCGATATTCATCTAATCTATTTTGCTCTTTTTTTAAAAAATCACTTTTCAGAGTTGAATCTTGTGACCACCATAAACTATGCAAATGAAGTCCTGATTTGCCTATTTCTGCCATCTTTTCCTCATGGATGGAGAAAAAAATTGTTACAGAAACTACTCTAGCTTTATCCCTTTCTAGTCCTCTCTCTTGGCAACGTGGATGTGGGTACACTGAAAGTTTTTGTGTCAGTTTTTCTTATTTTCTGGGGCCACTAGAGGGCATGAAGGGCCCGCCCCCTCATTTAAAATAAATATTTTGGGGAGTGGGAAGGGATAGAGATGGGAAGGCCTGGGGGAGGAAGGGGGAAAAAAAGAAACATTTCTGGAAAATCAAGGTTTTTCTGTTTTTTTCCAAAGCTGTTTTTTGAATTTTTTCCCCCCAGCAAAACTAGGAAAAAATAGAGTGTGTAATATGTTCTTCTACAATGATAAATAAAATGTCTATGACATGGCATTCAAACTACAGTATATAACATGAAGTCCTTAATGAAACTTTATGTATTTAAGTTCTCTTAAATGAAGATGCAGCCCTCCAAGTTGTAAGAGTGGGACATGTGTAACTTTGGAAGTTGTCCACCCAGATCTGATAGAACAGGAGTCCCCAACCTTTTTAACCCCATGGACTGGTTGGGGAAGGTGGGGCAACCCACTTGCTAGTGCACATGCGCGAAGGAGTAGGTGGGTGCTTGTGTGGGTGTGTGCATGTGCAAAGGGTGGCGTGGCACGGGGCACTCGTGTGCATGTGCAAAGGGATGGGGGAGTGTTCATGTGGGCGCAGGGGCATGCACGCAGGTGGGGGAGTGTGTGCGGGGGGTGGGGAGGTATGTATCCGTGGCCCGGTCTGTCTCAGGCCACGGACCAGCACCGGGCCGCAGACCCTGGTTGGGGACATCTGTGTTAGACTCTTGTTTCTAGGGATGGGTCCCGAAGGGCTCGGAAAGGGAGATGTAGCATTATGAGGAGTGACATATTGAACCAACATTTAGTTCTGGTGCCAGTGAACCGTGGAGGAGAAATCCCTCAGAGCCACTACGGACCCAAGTTTTTCTGTTGCTTTTCTTAAAGCGACAGCAGTGTAAGCACAGTTACTGCAGAGATGTATACAAACACACAATTGCTTTGGTTTTGTCTGATGGCTTTCTGTCTTACTAATAGGGTTTTCGCTCCCTTTATAGTAAAAGCTGCAGCTTGCTTGGAAACCAGACAAAAAGCCTGAGTAGAATATTGTTCGGGTCTTTAAAAGCTATAATAGTAACATATTTCAACAGTGCTTCGTTTTTACAGAAAGGAACTGCCATAATGCTGGAGTTGATTCACTCAACAGTCCTGATCGGAATTGATTTAGGATGGTCTCTCTAAACATACTGAGAGTCATTGTGCTGCAGACAATGGAGGTTGTAGCTGAATACACCTGGAGGGCTGTAGGCTGGGAAGGCTGCTTTGGGAGAATCTTCCATGTTAATTTCAAAGGAGCTGGTGCAGGAGAACATCTCAGTAAATTTTGCCCCATGAGATAGACGAGTTTTGAATTTTTGCAGAATTCCTCTGGCTGCAACACCAGAAGTGCCAGGATGCACGGAATTAGCTTCAAGTTCCCCAGAGTAGACCACCGGGTTTTCTTCTCATTAAGTGGCGCTTACAGTCTCGATAACACATTCCGAGACATTCTTAGGTGAAAGAATAACTATAAGTTGAACAGATAAGACAGCAAGCTAAAAACATGACTGCTTTGCAGAAAGAGGCCTCAACAGACTCACTGAGTGTAAACAAACAACACAGAGAGGAAAAGCACTGAGCAGAGTGGTGGGGTCTCTCTTTGAATCAGAAACAGGGAAGGAACTCTTGGTAAGTGCCGGACAGATCGACAGTCACCCCAACACAGAAAGTTCCCTTCCAGTCACACCTACGAGAGGAGGCCTGTGAGGTTACAAAATCTCCAGTACTGGATGTGTGTCTGTTTCTTGCACTTCTGCTGTTAGGGGTTTGTTCATATCATGTCATTGTCCCTGATCATTCTGTACTTGCTCTGCAATATCTTGGTATTTGGGGGGTGTAGATTTGAATAGATCATCCTAGTACTCACATCCACACCCAAGGGAAGGGGTATTTGTTGCTGAATGTTCTCAGATGCCCCAATGCTGCCTGTCAACACATCCGAAATTGCTTCCTGAGGTCTCACATGGCCAAAATACAGATTGCCTCCCTCTTCAGCTGCAGGCAGCTTGAAGACTCTTGAAGAACTTGAAGAAAGGGGAGATGCCCTTCATTGGCTCCTCCTAATTCTAGGAGGAAGTTTCTAATTTTTAAATATTTTTTGAATAAATGATGCAGCACATATTCTCTAATGAAGTCCTGATTTTTTTCCCACTTCCTCAAATCCTCCACAGAGTAGAGGAAGTGCTTAATTTCCCAATATCCCAAAGTGGCTTTCTTCTTAAGCCACTTCACAATATGGCAAATGAACAGTGGAAGGAGCTGGATCAAATAAGGTCACGCCAAATGATGCACCAGATCTCTCTACAACCACTAGTGACTCTATTTAGATCTCCTCAGCCCTGTTTCTAGATGAATCCACCGTCAAAGCATCCATTCCCCCCACCCTCCGGTGGCACTTTCCCCATTTGGTGTGAATGCCTAAGAACTCCCTCTTTTTTAATCCAGAGTAAGAGGTAACGTCACATGAAACAATGGGAATGACAGAAGATTCAGGAAGGATTAAAAGGGGAATGAGGATGTGGCCCAAGTGAATTAAAAGATTAGGTGAAATGTTGTCATGGACTCCATTCCTGGAGTCCAATGTTTGGGAAGGGTCTTGAAGTTCACCTTCACAGCATAAAGGATTCGTTGATCAACTAATGGTTATTATTGTTTTCCAGTTTCCAGCCTTCTTCCATTCCTGGAGTCCAATGTTTGGGAAGGATCTTGAAGTTCACCTGCATAAAGGATTCATTGATCAACTAATCGTTATTCTTATTGTTTTCCAGTTTCCAGCCTTCGAAGACATCTCTGTCCTCATGAGCGTCTGTTCTAATGCAGCCAATGGTCATGCAGGGATGCTCCTTCACCCTCCCCCGATGTCATGAGTGGCATGCGCCCAGCCGGCCTCGTCGCAACAGCGCTTCCCACACACACTCTCAGGTAAGAATCCCAGCATTGCCCGGCCAGTGCGCGCCTTTCGTCTGAGGGCACATCCACACGGTGGTGTTGCCGCTGGGGGGCAAAACACATAAATCAACAGGGAACAACAAAGGAGGGGTAGCCACATGAGCAACCCCTTGCACTGGAGCAAATCAGGGGACAAAAATACAACACACACACATACACACACACCTTGTGATGGTTGTAAAACCAACACAGGATGCAAGGGCTTCTGTCGCACTTTGACTCTATTGACATTCATTTTAGCCTTGTGTTGTGTAGATGCTTGGATACAGCGTTGGTATCACAGATGTAAGGAAAGTTGACCAAATGCTACACACACTCTCAGGTAAGAATCCCAGCATCGCCCAGCCAGTGCGCGCCTTTCGTCTAAGGGCACATCCACAGCGTGGATGGGACCTTACTTGCGATTCAGGGCATGTCCATACTGGCTGTTTTAGTGTGGGCTAGTGCAGTCTAAATAGGGTTGTTTGAGGTCAAGGGAAACATTGCACCATTGACTTCAAGCGACTTCCCAGTTCCTTCCGATGTCAGTGGAACACTTCCCCTGCTTCTTTGTGGAAGGACATAGGAAGTGAAATCATCATGTTTACCTGTGCCAGACTATTGCTGATGCACTGAATCACTTAGATTAATTTTTTAAAAAAAATTATTTGCCTTGTGTGTAGTGCCGATGGAGAAACGGCCCGTAGCCACAGTTTCAATCAGCACTTCGCAGAAAGGAAAAATGTAATCTGATTCAACGCATCAGTGATGGTCTAACACAGCCATTCTCTACCTTTTTTCCACCATAAACACAATGTGAAAAAATATAGGCCAAATAAAGATTGTGTTAAGTTTCAAACAATATAATATAAGGTTGTGTGTAAATAATTTTTTCCATTCTGTTGTCCCCTTCAAATGTGCCAAGGCCCCCCTGAGAAAAAAATTATTTGCCTTGTGTGTAGTGCCGATGGAGAAACGGCCCGTAGCCACAGTTTCAATCAGCACTTCGCAGAAAGGAAAATAATTTTAAAAAATGTTATCTGGTTCAATGCATCAGTGATGTTCTAGCACAACCATTCTCTACCTTTTTTTCCACCATAAACACAATGTGAAAAAATATAGGCCAAATAAAGATTGTGTTAAGTTTCATAACAAACAATATAAGGTTGTGTGTAAATAATTTTTTCCATTCTGTTGTCCCCTTCAAATGTGCCAAGGCCCCCCTGAGGGCCACATGGCCACGTTGGGAATGGCTGGTAGGAGATGCAAAATAATATTTTTCACTTCCCTTGCCTCTCTGCAGAGCAGCAGGTGAAGTGTTCAATTTGCCAATATACTGATGTGACTCATTTATTAAGCCAATTCACGATGATGGAAATACAATCTGAAAAGCAGCCTTGGCAGCTTTGACAGCTGCATAGTTCCATTTTGGTCCATTTCCAGTGATCACACAGGCTGAGGGTGGGCTAAATTAGTGCTCCAACTTGGACCAAAAAAGGAGAAGCCCCTGATTGGAGCTCAAAAATTTGGTCCATTTCCAGTGATCACACATGCTGAGGATGGGCTAAATGAGTGCTCCAACTTGGACCAAAAAAGTAGAAGCCCCTGATTGGAGCTCAAAAAGGTGCAGGTTTGGCTCCCCAGGGGTAAATTGATCCACTTGTGCGGTCAGCCTCCCCAGGGGTAAATTGATCCACTTGTGTGGTCAGCAGATAGAAGAGTGAATCAATCACCTGCAATGACCAGACAGCGGCACAGGTGCCCGTCTGATTTATAAATCTGAATGAGCCCACAGATTTATAAACAAGAGGCCAAACAACAGTTCAGTGTCATTAAAATTATTCTTTGAAAAAACAAAGCTGAAGGGTGTTCAAAAAAGGCTGAAGGGTCCTAGCCGTGGATCCTTGAGTATGAACTGAGTATGTTTCGCCTGGCAAAAAGGATATGGGAAGAAATGATAGCGGTCTTCAAATATACGAATGGCCGTCACACAGGAGATAGAGCAACACGCTTGTCCTGTTTGGTTTCAGAGATCCGCAGTAGAGCAAACGGGTGGAAATGGCAAGGAAGCCAATATTGGGCATATAGAGGGGGGGATTTACCAGTGGTGTGGCCTTGTCAACAGTGGAACAGGTTGCCTTAGGAGATGGTGGACACGTGTTTGCTGAATGTATTTAAGGAGATGTTGGGAAGCCAGGCATTGTGGGCAGGCATCCGTGGATTGAGCAGAAGGTTAGACAAGATGTAAACTCCGGCACACTTTCTCAGTTGAAAATTTTGTGAAGATGCCATGCAGGCTGGATTTGATTTTTTTAAAATTAAATTGATTTTTTGAAGAAATATTTTTAAATTGTTATTTAAATCACATTTTAAACCAATCTGATTTTTTAAAAGTCACTGATTTTTATCCACCCTGTTGCCATGCATTCTGATGGTGCAGAATCAATCCGTTAGGCCAGTAAATAATAGGCTGCCTTAAGTGAGCAACCGGTCCCTCGTTCTCCGCTTCCTGCCTCCAGGAATACCACTGGCCTATCGTGGGGAGCCAGCTGTCAGGATTACTGAGATAACCGTACGCTCGAAATGTGCTTTTCACGTGTGGATCGTTATTATTGATCCATGGCTTATTTTTCAAGGCCAAGGCTCAGCTCTACGCTGACTAATAATCATGGGAAGAGCATAAAAAGAGGCCTGTTGGATCAGATCAGAGGTCTGTTCAAGTCTGGCACCTTCTCCCTCAGAAGATGCCCCCAAGCACGGCAGGGAGGAAACACTAGTTCCCATGGCTGCCCCTGGCAGCAAATGATGCATACCTTGGTATAAATGGATTTGTAAATGAGAGTTTTGTGTAACTGTTGTAGATAAGAAATATGAGGTTTTCCATTTTCCGTTTTTAAAAAGCCCTTTGGAGTTAGTGGCCCTTGCAGTGCTTGGAAAGTTGCCATATTTTTCTGCATATAAGACTATACTTTTGTCAGGCCGTACTGAAGTGGATGCAGGAGAACGGGCTGCGGCTGAACCCGGACAAGACGGAAGTTCTGAGGGTGGGCGCTCCTGTTGCTGGTGGCTTGGGTGCCTCTCTCTCATTTGGGGGCGTGCCCCTGGCCACAAAGAGTGGGGTTCGCAGCCTGTGGGTACACCTGGACCCGACACTCACCATGCAAACGCAGGTGGCGTCAGGCGTCTTATATACGGAAAAAAATATGGTACTTCTTTTTATAGCCTTCAGAATACTCCTCTCTTCTGAGTGTTGTTTGTTGTTGTTATGTGTTGTCACATTGCCTCTGACATATGGTGACCCAATGAATCAGCAATTTCCAAAATGTCCTGTCCTCAACTCAACTCTAGTAAGCTCAAGTCTGTGCATTCCTTTAGGGAGTCGATCCATGTCATATTCTGTAGTCCAAGAACAGTTGGAAGGCCAAGGCTGGGGACCACTGGGTTAAAAGACAACAGGTTGAGGGAAGCCATCTTGAATGCTTCTGCGATGGCTTCTGGGTAGTGACATTGTCAAAACCGAACCCTTGGAGAAGGGAGGGGAAGGGAAACACAGGGTGGGGTGGGGGCTGACAGGCATGCAAGAGTGCCTGAGGTTGGCTGGTAGGAACAAGTGAGGGGGGGAGACAGGGAAGGAACGAAAGAGGGTGCCTTTTCATCTCGTGCCTGTAGGTGGGGGTTGAACGTGAAAACATCCTTTTGAAAAAGTAATCCGTGGGAGACTGTGCGTGATGGGAACGGAATCCTCTTGGCAAAAACAAACCCTGCCCCCCCCCCCAGTTCCTTCAGTGCTAAACTGCATGCCAAGGTCCAGGAATTTCAGCTTTCCGTACACAAAATTTCAGCTTTCCGTTCACGGAGTCCCAGCTGTTAAGGGTAATTCTTCTCTTGTACATCTCACCCTCAGCCTCATACAATCATTTTTAATTATTTTTTTAAAAAAATTAAATAATATTTAATAAGATACAGTATACAAAACCATAAAACAGGTTTAAACCATCACACTCCAGATAGTCAACATATCAAATGGTATCACTAGTTAACGTAACACGTCTTTCCATAAATCAGCATGAGTGACTGGGGGGGGGTTGCTAAGAGAATCAGTATGATGATTATAATACTGAATAAAAGGAGGCTGAGTTTTATGAAACAAGTGTATCCTGGAACTCTGGTACCTCTCTTGTGAGTGGGCAGTGCGATTTTTCCATCCGAACTAATTTCCATGCCCTAGATTCCCAAATCTTCCTTGAAATTTCTGCAGCTGGTTTTTCAACCTGCTGCTGCACACAAAAAAAAAGCAATGGGTACAGTCATCTTTCAGAATTCAGGGTCTAACGATTGGAGTGGTCTGGGAAAATGGGCTGGTATCGGGGTCTGCATCCTTGTGCACTTCCTGAGGCCCAGACCCCCGAACTAATTTCCATGCCCTAGATTCCCAAATCTTCCTTGAAATTTCTGCAGCTGGTTTTTCAACCTGCTGCTGCACACAAAAAAAAAGCAATGGGTACAGTCATCTTTCAGAATTCAGGGTCTAACGATTGGAGTGGTCTGGGAAAATGGGCTGGTATCGGGGTCTGCATCCTTGGGCACTTCCTGAGGCCCAGACACTTGGAACCACAACAACGACGACGACAACGACAACGACAACGACAACGACAACAACAATAGTGTTCCATCAAGTTATTTCTGACTTACTGCAACTCTTTCCAAAATTTTCTAGGTAGAAAATACACAAAAACGGTTTTCCCTTCCCTTCCTCAATGGGCAACCTTGGGACTGGGCAGCTGGCCCAGGGATACACAGGCTGGCTCTTCTGCCAGGAGGCACAAGTGGAGAATCCAACTCCCAACCTCCAGCTCTACAGTCAAACACCTAAACCACCGAGCTACGTAGCCCGTCTCCTTGAAACAAGCCCACTTCTGTTCCCAGACATACACTGCAGTGTGGCAAGCTGTGCCTTGTTAGTGACTAGCCAGAGGTATCAAGCTCTCCTATGT